TGAGCAGTAACAGTAATGCAATCAGAGCGGAAAGTATACCTTTCTAGTGCCGATGACGGCCTGCAACGCTGCAAAGCAATGAACTGTGCTTGGTATTTGACAGCGTAGCTTCGGCTACTTCCATTCAGGCTTCAATGTACATTTGTTTCTTTACAATGTGATACTCCGTCCATTTGTTGTAAGTATTCACAATCACAACCTTCGAATTTTCATAATTATTACTTTTGTAGATTTAAACACTGTGTCGCATACATTTAACACACAAACACAAGAACAAGGCGACGCATTTACCTGGACAATTGCCCGAGGTATATTTTTTTACTGCGTTGTGGTAAAATAACATAGCGTTAACAGCAAGTTTAATTAATTAATTATGTAATAACATTCTTATTACTTATTAGAATAACACTAAATTTTCAGAAGATATCTAGTGACATTTCTGAAAATAACTAAAAATTATTAAACTATAGAAAGTGACTAACATTTCATGCCATCTTGATTCTTTCATTTTAACAGATTTTAGATGAAAGCAATAAAATAAAGAAAATTTCATTTAAAGCGAAATATTAAAATTTCAAAACTAACCAAAGAAGAAGAATTTATGACCATATCAATTCATCATAAATGAAATAATTGCTTGTCTTAAAAATTTAGTTTTCATTGCAGACATCCTGAAAGCACGGACTGCTTTTAATCTCCGCAACGTTACTAAAAGACAATTCCCAAAGCTCCAACCAATACCGAAAAATTACAGCATTTTTTAAATAAATGGTGACTGCAATACATCAAACAGCTTCAGTTCTGTAACAAATGGAAAAAGTGTAATAAAATTCAAATTAAAATTGGTTCTTTGGTGATCATTAAAGAAGATAAGGCTCCTCCATGAATATGGAAAATGCGTGGAGTTTACAATTACAAACAATGATGTCATAAAGAGAATTACCACGAAAACTCCAGATGGTGTACTGGAAACTCAGCAACCTATAATTTGTCTAATACCTATGAAGAAATCAAATAGTGTCGAAACAACAAGCACCAACGTAAAGGAGAGAACCTCAGAAAATCATTAGTCAATAATAATTAGGAGAGCACTAACACTTTATGTTATGAAACTTTAGAGATCTTGAAATAAATAAGTATCTATAGTAAAGAATAATAACAAAAGAATAAAAAACATCAATTATATATTTGTATGCTTAATAAATAATTTTAATGTAGGTGTCGGATTGGGTTTTGGCTGTAAGTATATTCAGAAACAGTAAACCTATCTATCGTGACGACATTAACTCCTTTTTCCTTCCCAGCGTAAGCTAAAGAAGGATTTTAATCAAGACTGTCGGGTGAACAGCTACTTCCATGTTTTCTCGATGTTTCATGACGCCTATAGTATATTTTTGGATATTTCATTGTTAATGACAATTGTTTAATTGAAAAAAAATCATCAAGTTGGCTTTGCTTCTTTGTCGGTGAAAAACCCATACGTTTAATAATCCATACTAATTGTGTATTAGTGACATTTAATAGAGTTGTTCACAAGTATTAATTTTTTCACAACAAATGAAGTTGATGTACGACTCCGCGTTGTCAATTGCTGTGATTGATAAGTTTTAGGTCTGTTACAGAGATACTTCGTAATGTTTACAAAAACTCGACGCCAGCTTGACAATGTTTTCGATTGAATCAAAGAAATCTGTAAAAACTCAAACAATTAACGAAAATTTTATAATATTATAACGATGAATATGCAGATGTACATACAGTTAAATTTACATTGGTAAAATATTACGTTCAAAGTAGTGTAGAAAGATCAGACAGTGTTATAACGTAATAAATTTTAGCAGCTCCCAGCTAACGCGAACTTCAAACGTTTATGAAGGTGAAATTGCAGAAATAGCCTTATCGAGCTTCAAGCAACTATTCCCGGATATATCGGACGGCAGAACGAGATACTCAGTCCGGAAATTCTACACAACTATTTACTCTGGCACATACACTAAATATACAACCCGTCTGCTGTTCAATCTTATCAAGTGCTATGTTATATCTGAGGAGTTCATTCAATAGCATCGGTAAACACTCTGTTTAGTTGATGAATTTGATTTGAAGCAGCCGACACTCTACACGAGAAAAAACCCATCTGACATAAACCTGTCAATACACCCATGTCGATAAACTCTCGGTATACTTTCCATCAAAGTTTTTGCGTTATATAACCCCGACAGCTTAATAAAACGCCTGATCTGTGATCCGCTTAAATTGATCCCATAAAAATTATTTACTTTTCGATGCTGCTATAGTTGTGTTACACTTTTTACGGACGATAAAATTTACGATCCGGCGCAATTTAACATTAAATGTGACGTCACAAAATGCTACGACCGACATGATGAAATTGTGCATAAACTACATGTCGTTGACATAGATCAAGCTACACAAGTTGATAGGGTGGTAACCCAATTATGACGATGTAAAATAAATCGCCACGCCGAGGTAATAAAAATCATATTTTATGGGATGTTTGCCACTCTGGGCACTTCTACTGGAAGTGGTTAGTTTTAATTGGTCTGGAATTAAGTACTAACAAAATTCCCTACACATCATCTAAGTAGATTATTTTTTATAAAATGGAGTGCGGTGATTAAATTCGAACTTGCAGTTAAATACTAACTGCATCAAGCTTGAACTAATAAAATTACTGACCGATGAGAAACATAATAGCATTTTAAAGTTTATGCAAACATGTGGAGAATCATAGGTGTTATTTTCTATGTACAAAAAAAAAAACATTAATTCCGGTTCCTTTCACATCTCTTTTCATGTGTGTACAGTGTGTAGACACATCATCCAAACCGCAGTCCAAACGTGAAAATGTAAAATACTGTTAATTTGGTTCCACCAAATTTTTTTAAATTTGCAGTATAATGGGTTGATTTAAATCAAATTTTAAAATTTCATCCTTGAAACAAGTACATAATAAGTAGAGAGCGGATTTTATGAAATTTGCATATCCATTATTTTTTGCATATAAGCCTTGATATTTAATATGTGGACGAATCATGCTAATTAAAAATGAATACAGCTACAAAAAAATTGCATATTTGCATATATTTGCCTTCTGCTGCATATTTCACGTAACGGGTGCATATTTTGCATTTTTATCAATTTTAGTGCTAATTTGAAAAAAAAATAATTGTCATTTTATCGGCATTTATTGTAGGCCCAATACGCTCTATTAGTGATGACGTAGATGACGCCATTTTTGTTGAGAGTGGTCAGTGCGTGAAGCTAAACAAACCTTTTCCACCATTTGGATTCAAGTTGATTTTTAAATTTTGTCGTTTTCTTGTGTTATTTGGTAGTTTTTATAGCAGTATAAGTAAGTATTGTAGTTGTAGTGGATTACTGCTTAGTGTAAGACTTTCTGGAAGAAATTATTTTATAGCAAATTAGCGTATATACTTAAGTAATACATTGCTTAATTTTTGTCCCTGTAAATGATTATCATATTTTCAGTGCCTGAACAACATGTCATAAAGTTTCATCACATAGCCTTGTTTTTCATTGATGCCACTAGATTCCTTAAAAGAGGTGAAAATGGTTACAGCAGTGGGCATGTACAAAAATTTTTATGTGACGGAACTGTGAAACCAATGTTGATAAAGGGGGAGGTTAAAGCCAGCATGAAAGCAAACAATTATAACGTTGAGGTATGTTGGGAGTTATGCAGTTATGAGTTTTTAATTACATTTTTTTTAGATTTCCTTTGATCTAGATGAAGGAGTTAAGGAGGCGTCATGTACTTGCCCAAGAGGAAAGGTCCTTTGCCACCATATGGCGGCTTTATTATACCATGCTCACTACCATGTGAGCACCACTGATGTGGAATGTCAGTGGAGTGCTCCACACGTAAAAGGTGGTAATGGAGTGGTAAAATTAAAGGATATTTATCCAGCAAAGCAAAGTTATAAAGCTGGTCAGAGAAAGGCAACCGACGCAGAAATTGCAGAATTTCGGAAACAATTAGGCTCAACAAATATTGTGGGATTTTCTTGGCTGTTGCGTCCTGAAGCCACTCGAGAGGCGTCCATGTTAATCCCAGATATTGAAGAAATTTTGCATTCACCCCAATACATATCGGCCGAAGACAAGGATGATTTTGTAATCAAAACAAGTAAAATAACCAAAGAAATAATTTCCCAAATTGTAAATTTGACAAAAGGGCAACATGTCAATGAAAACTGGCACATTGCCAGAAAGCATCGTCTAACAGCTAGCAGATTTGGTATGGTGCTGTCAGCAATTAAAAGGAATAAATTCCCTCCGTCGCTGTTTAAGAGTCTGGCGGAAGGTTACAACTTGGATCGGGTTGCGGCTGTACAGTGGGGCAAAGAACATGAAAAGACAGCTCTGCAAGCATTCAGGGAAGCTGTCGTTGCAGAAGTGGAACCAACTGGCTTTTGGTTAGATAGATCAGGATTTTTAGGGGCCAGTCCTGATGGATTAGTTGGATCTGATGCAGTGGTGGAAATAAAATGTCCGTACAAATATCGAGATGCCCTTTCCTTCAAGGAACTGGATAAAAAATACTTCTGTTGGTATGAAGGAGAAGACTTGATAATTAACCAAGAACATAACTATTACCATCAGGTGCAGGGCCAGTTATATCTATCAGGTCGAAATGTCTGCCACTTTGTAGTGTGGACATTAAAAAACACACTAATTTTCCAAATAGAAAAAGATATGGAGTGGGGAAAAAATTTGGAAACTTTAAAAAACTTTTATATTTCAAAGTATCTTCCATATATTTTAAAATAAAACAATTGTACATAAGAAATGATGTAGTTTTTTTTTTCTGGTGGGGCGAAATCCTGGAGCATGGTTCCACTATTTTGGGAAGTTTCAGACTCTTACCAGCTGACTTCCTGTGTTCTGGTGTTAAGGGACTCCATGAGCATTGCTTTAAAGGTTTTTTTTTTAACTTACAATGTTTCATTAAACGTTTACTCGTCGTTAAAAAATTGGCTCACTTCTCTAATAAGGGGATATTGTAGATTTGTTAATGCTGCCACAGCTTTAAATACCACATCCCCATAACTACATAATGAGCGTGGCATGAAATTTAAAATGTGATAGCACTTCATGCGTCGTATAGCCCGTTCCACATGAATTCTTGCACGTGCTATATTTTCAGTGCATTGGACTTGTTCTGGTGTAAACTGGGGACTTCTTAAAAATGGTGGAATATTCAAACTCACACCAGGAGGCAATATATTTTGAATCAGAAAACCCCTGTCGGCTAATATTAAATCGCCCACTTCTAACTGTTTCAATATCCCACAATCCTGCACAACTTTTTGATCTGAAGTAGATCCCACGTACAGGTCACTTACATAGGTAATGACACCATTTGGAGCCACACCTATTAAGCCCTTAAAAGTGTTGTGGTGTTTGTAGCTGCTGTATGTAAGACGTTGCTTTTTCATTGACGTTCTAGCAACAACAGTAAATATTTCTGTACAGTCTAGAACTGCTCTGCAATTTGTAAAGTTGCTGAAGCTTGTTGGCAAACAAGACTTATTTTTCTGTCGAGATGGTATCACCTCCATAAATTGTTGATATAGGACTTCATAAATTAGATGCACATATGTAATCACGATATTCGTTACAGCTGCTTGCGAAATATCGAAACGTTGTGCTAAATCTAGGTGGGGGCAGTTTAGCCGAAGTTTCATCAACGTCAGCAGCAGTTGATCAATTTTATTCAACTTTTTGATGCCCCATTTTAAGTACCACTTAACCTCAATGTTTTCAATGAGCTTAAATAAAGTCTCAAAAATTGTACTTTTTGGCAGTCCAGTGTACAAAAGTACAAGTCTGTCATTATTCTTAATATTTTCATATGAAAATCTCACTGAGAGGTACTTAATCTTTTCTTCACATTCTTGCAGTCTTTGTTTTAAAAAATATACTTCAACTTCCAGAGCAACATTCGAAGCAGCTGACACCGATTGAGCTGCTGAAGATGGCCCTGCACTGGAGGTTGATGGTCTTGCATGTGATGCTGATGGTTCTGAAAACATTAATGTTTAAGTGATCCGCTGACACTTGGTTAATCATAAGAAGAATCTTAAATATAACGCCTCACAATTTGCTGATGTTGGATATGAATAATAATTACCTTCGACAGTTAATATTGCCACATCTCTAAACGATGTTGAAGTTGATGGCATTCTAAAAATTGAAATGGTTTAATGCAATAAATATGTATTTTTATTAATCATTACTCTTCAGCTGATGAAGGACCAGGTATTGCTGGATCATCGAAAGTCTTCATCTTCCTTGTTCGCTCCTTTTTTTCTCAGGCGTTGAAGCAATGCATTTTTTTTTAATATTATGTAAGAACAACTCAGGGCCATTCTTTTTCTCTCCGTCCCTAAAGCGGCAACTGCAGACGTATGCACCAGGGCCTGGTTCAACATCTCTCCTAAAAAGTTAAAAACGATTTTATAAATATGAAAAAATATGTTATGATGTTCACCTAAGCAAACGTTTCCATTTTGCTCTTTCCTTTTCCGATTTCGGAAACCTAAAAAACCTACAAGTATCGCGGGTACTGTAGTGCTTGCAATCAGGTGCCCAACACATTCCCATTTTGCCCCTTCAAAGATCTGAGTTCAATTCCTCTACAAATAATATAAATATTAAGAACAAACAAATTTTCGTTTTTATATGAGTCAGCAAGTTACCTCACTTTGTTATTATGTGAGAGGAAATATTAATAGTTCGGCTGCTTTGCAGAATTTTGAATTTACACACAAAGAAAGAAAGTGAGGTTAAAACGTCTCAACATAAAATTTTAACAAAAGAAGAATCCATCAGGACGTTTAATCAATTCTAGATTGTTTATTAGTACTTACCAACACTCACAATTCACTTTTGATACACTACAACTGTATAATAAGTTTATAATTAATAAAAACACGCAAAACCCTTAACAATTCGGTGTTTGTTTAGCTTCACTGTGCTTGACCTACCACAACTGCTACGTCACACTAATATGGCGTGAAAGTGGTTTCTATGACAAGATACTAAACATTATCACCTCGTTATTACCCCACGACGGACAATATGAGTTAAATAACAAAGTACGACCTTGCAAAGAAACCGACCACGTTCTTATTTATGGCTAGGGATTGACTTCATTGTCCCCATCGTCAACTTCGACACAATGGACCTATCATAAAAACCACTTTAAACTGGGAAGACTATATCTAGAAAGTCTAAATTTCATTAATCGTATAGCAAATATTTTCCTGAGCTTCAAATAACTAGGAAAGGTTTGGGTTTTATGGTATTTTGGAGAAACCACTGGGTGTTAAACCATCCTTCCAGGGAAATTCGCGCCCTAATTACCTTTGGAAATACGTCCATTTCCAATATTTTTGTTCGTTACTTCAGTGTATTAATGGTATGTTTTGTGGTGGTCAAAGCATTTAAAGCGATACAGGTGTGTCAATATGTCGAAAATAACTCAAATTAATTTATGGATTAAACCTTTTCCTGAACTTATTCTTCAAGAAGTATTTTTACTTCCCGAGCGTAAGCAAAGGAAGTATTGTAATCGAGTCCGTCGGCCGACTCTCTACTTTTACGTTTTCTCGATCTTTCATGACCCCTAGAAGACGAAGAAATAGGTCTCCCATTTCCGTCTGTCTGTCCGTCTGTCCGTCTGTCCGTCTGTCCGTCTGTCCGTCTGTCCGTCCGTCTGTCCGTCCGTCTGCCGTCCTGGATTTTTATTAGACAGATAATCTCCGAAAGTACTCGACCGATTGTTGTGAAATTTTGTACTTATATTAAGAATATCATGTAGATGGTAAAACGCTAACCAAAATTTGTCTAATCATCCCCACCAGTAATGCGATGACGTCACTTCAAAATTGTACATAGTAAATGGGTTTTCAATTGTATAAAATAACATAGTCCTACACATGTAGTTTACAACTCTGAATCGACTTTTCACCGAAACGTCCAGATTTTTGGAAAAAAAAATCAAAATTATAAAACAACATTTTGAAATTTAATTTTTAATCTGCTAACCAGAATGCTTTGAAATGTTGCAGATGTTTTAAGGCTATAAAGAGCATAATAAATTTTTAGTCAAAAAAAATTTGCTTATCCCCTCCAAAAACTTGATGACGTCAGCTCAAAAGTTTGTGGAATAAATCATATCTAAAATGTACAAAATATGATGAGTCTGTACTTGTGATCTATCACTCCATTTATATTTTTTGGATTTGCATATACAGGGTGACTCAAAAAAATTAATGAATGCGTAAATTTATTTTACTGATTTACTCAGAAACTACAAAACCGAATGCTTTGAAATCTTGCAGATGTTTTAAGGTTATAAAGAGCATAATAAATGTTTAGTCAAAATATATTTGCTTATCCCCTCCAAAAAATTGATGACGTCAGCTCGAAAGTTTGTCGAATAAATCATATCTAAAATGTACAAAATATGATGAGTCTGTACTTGTCATTTATCATTCCATTCATATTTTTTGGATTTGCATATACAGAGTGACTCAAAAAAATTAATGAATGCGTAAATATATTTTATTGATTTAATCAGGAACTACAAAACGGAATGCTCTGACATCTTGCAGATGTTTTAATGTTATAAAGAGCATAATAAATGTTTAGTCAAAATATATTTGCTTATCCCCTCCAAAAACTTGATGACGTCAGCTCGAAAATTTGCCGAATAAATCATATCTAAAATGTACAAAATATGATCAGTCTGTACTTGTAATCTATCACTCCATTCATATTTTTTGGATTTGCATATACAGGGTGATTCAAAAAAATAAATGAATGCGTAAATTTATTTTACTGATTTACTCAGGAACTACAAAACCGAATGCTTCGAAATCTTGAAGATATTTTAAAATTATCATAAGCATGGTAAATTTTTGATCAAAATGTATTTGGTCGTCCCCCCTAAAAAATTTATGACGTCACCACAAAATTTTGCTGAATAAATCCTATCTAAAATGTACAAAATATGGTGAGTCTCTTCTTGTGATTTATCATTCCATTCAATTTTTTTCGATTTGCATATACAGGGTGACTCAAAAAAATTAATGAATGCGTAAATTTATTTTATTGATTTAATCAGGAACTACAAAACCGAATGCTTTGAAATCTTGCAGATGTTTTAAGGTTATAAAGAGCATAATACATTTTTAGTCAAAATATATTTGGTTATCTTCTACAAAAAACTGATGACGTCAGCTCAAAAGTTTGCCGAATAAATCGTATCTAAAATGTACAAAATATTATGAGTCTGTACTTGTGATTTATCATTCCATTCATATTTTTGGATTTGCATATGCAGGGTGACTCAAAAAAATTAATGAATGCGTGAATTTATTTTATCGATTTAATCAGGAATTACAAAACCGAATGCTTTGAAATCTTGGGAATATTTTAAAGTTATTATAAGCATGGTAAACTTTTGTTCAAAATGTATTTGTTCATCCCTCCTAAAAAAATTGACGACGTCACCCTTAAATTTTGCTGAATAAATCCTATCTAAAATGCAAAAAATATGATGAGTTTGTACTTGTGATATATCATTCCATTCATATTTTTTAGATTTTCTTAAGAGGTGGTTCAAAAAAATTAATGAAGTCAATTTATTTTATTGATTAAATTAAAGGCAACACTTATTATTAGTATTACACCCCAACCAACCCAATTTGGTAGACACAAAATTTGTTAAAGGATAAACTCGGTTGAAACATAAGGGTAGCACGCTTATTTACATCGACTTTAACATTACAGACCTGCATTTGTTTTATGCGCTCACTTGGTTCCGCGAATGTGGAATAGACATGTTTATAATCAACCAATTGTGAATTTCACCGTCAAGAATTAAAATAAAACCCAATGTTTTATATAATAAGCGGAAGTCGAAGCAATAAAACCGATGGTCGTTTTGTTTACAGTTTCTCTGTTTGACTCTCACGTATGCTGTTACGCTTGTCATCTTAAATTAAGAATGTTTATACATAAACGATTTTCAGTTGCCCCTCATATTACTAGACAGCGGATTTCTGTCGGGCTACGTCACGATTATAGGGGGGGACGTGCTGGATCGCCGGGTGATAGATAATCACTGAATTTAATCGGTACTAATTCCATAAATATAATTAACGATTTATTAATCAAACGGCTAAGTAAATGAGAACGGGAATTAACAGCAGAGTGCAACGAAACAGCGTTATTCTAATCTCAAGTAAACGAAGTGCAGTCCGCAACCGCAATGAATTCGCATCCCGTACGAGCCGTACCGAGTTTGGCCTTGCCTAGCCCGACAGAAATCCGCTCTCTAGATATTACACACCGGCGCCGTATACGTGAGTAAATTGTTTCGTTATTTTATTGATTATAAGAAATCAATATTCAAAACGACCCAATTCATTTTCCCGAAAATTTGGGAATACAATAATTTTATTCTTAGTATTACACTACATCTATCCCAACTGATATACGTGTCCTTGCAAAAATGTTGATGACGTCATCACAACTTTTTTTTAAATTCCCACTACAAAAATGTAATGAAAAAAAAAACACAATAGGCATGCAGTCGTCAAGTTTCCGACAGCGAGGGAAGTACTGTCTAAACTCTTTAGACCAATTTTTACATCTGTGGACGTAGTAGGTACGCAGTTTTTCTATTTACAAATACAAACTTTAGAATCACTTTTTGTTAGAATATTTCGAAAAGCGATAGGGTTAAAAATAAATTGTTACCAAACTAGTAATTAAATAGTCGATTACTACTATCTTTCGATTTGTTCTGTTTATATTTATTTTTTTAGTATAAGAATATTATCTTTAAAAATGTGATTTATGTATTACTTCCCGAGCGTAAGCAAAGGAAGTATTGTAATCGAGTTCGTCGGCCGACTCTCTACTTTTACGTTTTCTCGATCTTTCATGACCCCTAGAAGACGAAGAAATAGGTCTCCCATTTCCGTCTGTCTGTCCGTCTGTCCGTCTGTCCGTCCGTCTGTCCGTCTGTCCGTCTGTTGTCCCGGATTTTTATTAGACAGATAATCTCCGAAAGTACTCGACCGATTGTTGTGAAATTTTGTACTTATATTAAGAATATCATGTAGATGGTAAAACGCTAACCAAAATTTGTCTAATCATCCCCACCACTAAAGCGATGACGTCACTTCAAAATTGTACATAGTAAATGGGTTTTCAATTGTATAAAATAACATAGTCCTACACATGTAGTTTACAACTCTGAATCGACTTTTCACCCGAAACGTCCA